CCCCCCCCCCGGCAGTCGGGGACGAGTGGAAGAACTACATCTCCATCTGTGGGCTGCGCACCCACGGGGAGCTGAGCGGCACCCTCATCACCGAGCTGATCTACATCCACAGCAAGATGCTCATTGCCGACGACCGCCGCGTCCTCATCGGTGAGTGCCGGCGCGAACCCAGGAGTCCTGGCCCCCCACCTCTCTCCGCCTGTAACCCACGAAAGGCCACTCGCTGCCAGAGCCGGGGAGAACCCAGGAGTCCTGGCTCCCAGCCCCCCCTGCTCTAACCCACTGGCCCCAGTCCCCTCCACTGGGGCACTGACAGGGCTGGGGGGGCAGGGCTGGGCTAGCAGGGGGCTGTGGGTCGGGAGTGGGGGGCACCGGCAGAGCTGGGGGGAGTCCAGGGGTGGCAGAGGGCTGTGGGTCGGGAGTGAGGGGCACCCCAGAGCTGCGGGGGGTCCTAGGGGTAGCAGGGGCTGCGGGTCGGGAGTGAGGGGCACCGGCAGGGCTGGGGCGAGCCCAGGGGTGGCAGAGGGCTGTGGGTCGGGAGAGAGGGGCACCGGCAGGGCTGGGGCGAGCCCAGGGGTGGCAGAGGGCTGTGGGTCGGGAGTGAGGGGCACATGCAGGGCTGGGGCGAGCCCAGGCGTGGCAGAGGGCTGTGGGTCGGGAGTGAGGGGCACCGGCAGAGCTGCGCGGGGTCCTAGGGGTGGCAGAGGGCTGTGGGTCGGGAGTGAGGGGCACCCCAGACCTGCGGGAGGTCCTAGGGGTGGCAGAGGGCTGTGGGTCGGGAGGGAGGGGCACCGGCAGAGCTCTGATCCGTCCTTTCCCCCCCCAGGCTCTGCCAACATCAACGACCGCAGCCTGCTGGGGCGGCGGGACAGCGAGCTGGCCGTGCTGGTGGAGGACACGGAGCTGGTCCCGTCGCTCATGGACGGGGAGCCGTACCAGGCGGGGAAATTCGCACTCAGCCTGCGCCTCGACTGCTTCAGGTGGGTGTGCGCGGGCCTGCTGGCCACACCCCCAGCTCTGTGCCTGCCCCTCGCCCTGGAAACACGGGGTGCAATCCCACGCCCCCCCCGCTGCGCTGTTACCTGGGCACGGGCACCTCATCCCAGCGCTGGGCCCTTCTCCGCAGGTCGCTTCTGGGGCAGTCGGGCGCCTCCAGCCTCGACATCCAGGATCCAGTCAGCGACCACTTCTTCCACGGGGTCTGGAAAGCCACCGCCCTGGGCAACGCTAACATCTATGATCAGGTGTGTGGGAAGCCCGGGGGGCAGGGCTGGGCTAGCGGGGGTTGCGGGTCGGGAGTGAGGGGCACCGGCAGAGCTGCGGGGGGCAGGTGCTGCGGGTCGGGAGTGAGGGGCACCGGCAGAGCTGGGGGGGCAGGTGCTGCGAGTTGGGAGTGAGGGGCACCGGCAGGGCTGGGCTAGCAGGGGCTGCGGGTCGGGAGTGAGGGGCACCGGCAGAGCTGCGGGGGGCAGGTGCTGCGGGTCGGGAGTGAGGGGCACCGGCAGAGCTGCGGGGGGCAGG